ACCATACTACTTATTTCAAGTCTTTTTTTCCATATTCTTTACTCTTTTTAGGTGAGTTCTCACCAAACCCTTTAAGAGATATTAGAATAAATCAGCTGATAGCAACGAATAGGAGCAACTGAATGGTGCACCAGTACACTTTCTTATTTTCAAGAATGGAGAAGGAATTTGTTAGCTAGATAGTACAATCTGTTTTGCATTGTTGTTAGCTCAATTCTAGAACTTTCCTAGCTACCAAGACTTGTATATATTTATATAATCTTATTGATTAATTATTGAGCAATTCAGCATCATATCCTTCTTCAATTTCTAATTTGGTATCAGAGCCAACAATGGCCAATACTGGATCCGGAAACCAATCTGAGTTCAACACTTCATCAACCTCTCAGTTCGCTGCCGGCCAGAATCCTTCATTTAGGATGAATATTACACAAACACCTGCAGTCAAGCTTTACAGGAACAATTTCCTTTTATGGAAAAACATGATAATGCCCGTAGTTAAAGGGCATAATCTTGAAAGATACCTGATGGGGACAAGGGAGTGTCCACCTGAATTTCTAGCCACTCAAACAATTGTTGGTCAGGGAGAGGCTGTTGAAATGACTAAAAATCCTGAGTTCGTTAAGTGGGGTTCAGCTGATCAACTCCTCATGGGCTTGTTGTATTCATCCATGACACCGGAGATAGCCATGAATGTTATGGGCTATGCAAGCTCGAACAAACTCTGGATAGCTGTAGAGGAAAGCTTTGGGATATTAAACAAATCACGAATGATGTTTTCGTGAGTGAATTGCAAGGAATCAGAAAAGGATCCATGACAATGGATTAATACCTAACTGCCATCAAGTAATTGGCAGACAATTTGGAGATAGCTGGAAAAACAATTGATCAAGGAGACCTGATTACACAGGTTCTATCAGGACTTGATGAGGAATATACGCCTATTGTAGTTTAGATAAATGGCAGGGAGACCATAACCTGGCATGAGCTCTCTTCAGTATTCATGACTTTTGAAAGTCGACTTGAGCACTTGAACCAGATTAAGAATAATTTTTCATCACTCAGTGTTAATCAATCGAGTGTCCAATTGGTACATAGAGCTAGTCAAGGATTTGGCAGAAGCTTTAGAGGACATAACAGTGGAAGACCACCAAATTTCAGAGGTAGAACTAGAGGAAGAGGTAGAACTACAACCAGCAAACAAAATGAAATCAGGGGACCATGTCAAATCTGTAGTTTAAGCAACCATTCAGCGAGCTGGTGCTACAATAGGTATGATGAGAGGTATATGGAGAGTAAACCAACTAATTCTGGCCAACATAATATCAATCAATCACCTTCAGCCTATGTAGCAATGCCCAGAATTCTTGATGATCCAGCATGGTTTGTAGATTCTGGCGCGAGCAATCATGTGACAATGGATAAAGGTAACATGAATACTGTGAAACATTACGAAGGTAAGGAAAAACTACTTGTTGGTAATGGAGATATGCTTCAAATTGCACACACTGGAAATGGAAAAATCTGCACTATGAGTAATAAGACATTAGATCTAAACAGATTGCTGCATGTTCCTTCAATCAAAAGGAACCTAATTAGTGTCTCTCAACTCTGTGATGATAACAGTATGTTCGTAGAATTTTATTCTAACAATTGTGTTGTGAAGGACCTACAAACGAGGAGGATCCTACTGCAAGAAGTGCTTAAGGATGGGTTATACCAGTTACAGTTGCCAGACTTCAAACCAGCAAGAACCATTTTCGAGTCAAACTACCAAAATAACTATCACTGTCTCACAGCCAGTTCTGGTGATGATCAGTTATCTTCAGTTAAGCTAATTTCAGAGTCTGGGCTTGATATATGGCATAGAAGATTAGGGCATCCTTCAAACTATGTTATGAGTCGAGTTCTAAAGTCGTGTAATAAGAGTGTTAAAGTGAATGAAATCTCTATTTTCTGTGAATCTTGCAAGCTTGGTAAATCACATGCCCTTCCATTTACCACTTCATCCTCACATGCGTTAAAACCTCTAGATCTTGTTCATATTGATGTGTGGGGGCCTGCCACCTTAAATTCTACCACGGGGTATAGATATTATATAATCTTTATTGATGATCATAGTAGGTTTACATGGATTTACCCAATGAAGCATAAATTTGAAGCTCTGTCCACCTTCACTCATTTCAAAAATCAGATAGAAAACAAGCTAGATAGGAAGATCAAATGCCTCCAATCTGACGGGGTGGGGAATTTAGAAACTTCAATAAGATAGCACTTAACCGAAAGAGATGAATCACATGGGCAAGAGGGAACATGCTTCAAGTAAACTTTTTTTTTCAAGTATAGCTCGAAGAGAGCATAGGAATTCAGGCATTCCTGTCCTCATACCTCTACTCAAAATGGAAGAGCTGAACGCAAGCACAGATACATCACAGAGACTGGTTTATGTCTCCTTGCTCAGGCTCAAATGCCCCTTCATTACTGGTGGGAGTCCTTTAAGACTGCCATTTACTTGATCAATAGACTGCCTACACCAGTTTTACATCACAATTCGCCCTTTCAAACCTTATTCAACAAACTTTTTGACCATAAACAGCTTAGAACCTTTGGGTGTGCCTGTTTTCCATGTCTTCGACTTTATCAGAAACACAAATTCAGTTTTCACTAACAAAAATGTGTTTACCTAGGCTACGGTGATTCTCATAAGGGTTATAAGTGTCTAAGCCCAAGTGGTAGAATATATATTTCCAGACATGTAGTATTTAATGAACAAGATTTCCCTTTTAAGTCAGGTTTCCTAAACAAAAAATTGAGTCTCAAGTCAGTGATACCACAGTTAACTATCTCCCATTCATTGACCACAGTCAACTTTCTATTCCTCAAATGGCAACTGGTACTTCTACAGCCTATTCTGAAGGTACTGTTGCAGCAGATCTCACTGATGGAGAGGCTAGAATAGATGTTATAATTGAACATCGTGATGAATTGAATCAGGAACTAGTGGCAAAAAGTGAAACTTCAGAAATTCTGGAGACCAGAATTGATACTCAAAATGTGACAGAAGAAACAATGTTATCAGATAGGAACATGGGTCAAAACCTTGGACATCAGATGATAACTAGGAGTAAGGTGGAATATTCAAGCCCAAAATTTGTACTAGCCTAGTAGTTTGACAGTAACTGAGCCAATAAATGCTGATGAGGCACTCTCAATTGGTGCTATGAAAGAAGAATATAATGCCCTTATTAAGAATGATACATCGATACTGGTTCCACCTGATAGTGGAATGAAAATCATTGGGAACAAGTGGGTGTTTTAATTGAAGCATGACTCGAATGGTAAAGTGGTAAGGTACAAGGCTAGGTTTGTTGCTAAGGGTTTTTCTCCAAATACCTGGTGTTGATTTTAGTGAGACCTTCAACCCTGTCATTAAGGCTTCAACTCTAAAGATTAGTCTGACATTGGCTGTGGCTAAAGACTGGCAGATTAGGCAGGTTGACATAAATAATGTCTTCTTAAATGGTAGCTTGAATGAGGTTGTTTACATGGATCAACTGCAAGGTTTTATTGATGAGAAATGTCATGGCTATGTCTGTAAACTAAAAAAGGCTTTGTATGGCTTGAGACAAGCCCCAAGAGCTTGGAATGATAAGCTAAAGCATACATTTAATGGAGTGGAATATCAGACAATCAAAGGCAGACAACTCCTTATTTTTCTTGGCAAAAGGAACAGATATATTGTTTGCCCTAATATACGTAGATTATAAAGTCATAACTGGGAACAATGATCAGCAATTGCAGGAGTTCATTGACAGATTGAACTTTACCTTTGTACTTAAAGACATGGGGAAGCTAAAGCAATATCTAAGAATTGAGGTTCAAAGAAATTCAACTGGCCTGCATCTGAAGCAAACTAGATATACAATTGAGTTGATAAAGATATTTGGCTATGAAGACTTAAAGCCCAGCCTAACCCCTATGGCAGTAGGGAAACTGGTTTCCAAAACTAAAGGACAAACAATGAAAGACCCCATTCTTTACAGAAGTGCCGTAGGAGGCCTTCAATATCTCATCCACACTAGGCTGGACTTAACCTACTCTGTAAACAGGTTAAGCCAATTCCTTCAAACACGAATTGACACTCGTTGGAAGCTATTTAAGAGGGTGTTTAGATACCTGAAGGGGACCCTGAATCATGGGATAACTGTACAGAAGAATGATAGTCTTCATATTACTGCATTCACTGATTCTAACTGAGCTTCTTGCCTAGATGATAGGAGATCAACTATAGGATACTATGTATATATTGGGGACAACCTGGTATCGTGGTGCTCTAAAAAGCAAAATGTGGTTTCCAGGTCTAGCACGGAGGCAGAATACAGAGCTTTAGCTCACTGTACTGCAGAAATAACTTGGATTTAGTCCTTATTGGAAAAATTGGGAATTCCACAGCAGTCGACTCCAATTATTTGGTGTGATAGTCTAAGTGCAAGTGCCTTAGCCTCCAATCCCTTATATCATGCTAGCACAAAACATATAGAATTGGATGCTCATTTTGTAAGAGACAAAGTCCTAGACAATAAACTCAAAATACACTATGTTCCCTCTTCAGACCAAAAGGCATGCTGACTAAACTAGTGTCCCAATCAAGATTTCAACTGCTTAGGGACAAGCTTGGAATGATAGAACACACTCCACCTTGAGGAGGAGTATTAGAATAAATCAGCTGATAGCAACGGATAAAAGCAACCGAATGGTACACCAGTACACTTCTTTATTTTCAGGAATGGAGAAGGAATTTGTTAGCTAGATAATACAATCTGTTTTGCATTGTTGTTAGCTCAATTCTAGAACTTTCCTCGCTACCAAGACTTGTATATATTCATGTAATCTTATTGATTAACTATTGAGCAATTCAGCATCATATCCTTCTTCAATTTCTAATTAGAGAAAGATTCAAAGAACGGCTGCATTCATTATTTGAAGGTCCAATCTCGTTATCATCTGAAAATGGTGAAATATCGAAAAATTTCTTCTGGAGTTGGGAACCCAGCAGTTGCCATAAAGCTTGCAATCTCATGCTTATCATCTTCATCTCTTGGTCTCCAAAGCTCTTGGACAGTCACCTCAAGATTTGTGGCCAGGTAACTGGAAATAGATTAATAAATGAGACCATCATGTGCATATTAAGCTTGTGTTTGAATCTAATTTTGAGGAGCATAGAAATTTTGGAATAGTGATTAATGTGAGAATATGTGGTGGAAAAGTGATGAAAAATTTTTGATTTGTATGTAATATTATTTTATTTGGAGAGTGTGTGGTTGAAATGAAGAATGAAAATGAGAAATTAACTGGTGTCAAATGTGGGCTAAATAGCAGCTGCAACTGTAGTTGCCATTGCAAGGCCTGCCTTTACATCAGAATTCACCCCATTTTGGTTGGTTATAACACTATTTATGAATTAACCAAAAAGTTGAAAATGAACGAAAATAAAGCAAGTTCTTGCACTTGACTGGATGATCAGATAGTAAATTAGTGTATTAACCCTCTTTTGATACTCAAGTGAGTTGAATTTTCAAGGACTGGAATAAATTAATGCAAAAACACAAAATAATAATAATAATAATAATAATAATAGAAATTTGTAGGCATGTGACCTACAAACGAATCTTTCGAGATAATGAAAGGAAGAATCGTGTTATATAAAATCAAATTCATGGCTGAAATTGAGAAAAAAGCCTTACCTAATCTTGTGTAAGAATTATAGACTGACTTAGTCTGTAATTTCCTACGGGTGATTTGGGGCTTTATGGAGTTTTGGGGATTTTAACCATATTAATTACGAGATTAAAAATATTAATTAATTTTAAGATTATTATTCTAATTTTTCTATTTTGGAGGGTAGCTGGGCTAATTTTCCCACTATTTAAGCTGCTTACAATGATGTAATTTTTTTGGGCCGAGCAACACATTGCGCTGTTGATATAATTAATCCAACCCGTTTTAACGTTATCGTCCAAATTTATTGAGTATCAAAATCCAACATCTATATTTAATTATTAAATATTCATATAAAACCTTCTATAGTAGACAAGCCTCTAAAAATCCACTTTCTAAATTTAACCCCCTTCAACATCATATCAATTAAAGGACAAAACATTCTTTCCCTAATAAATTGTCATTATAATTTTCACAAATCTTATAATATTATAAACTTATTGATTATATTTGTCAGCGAGAAAAATTCACTTGTCAATCTTTAGGAGGAAAAAAAAATCCATCCAGCACGTTTAGTCGAGGCAAAAAATTGCATGAAAATTAAACACGGAATTGTTGAGATTTTTTAATACAGAACTATTCTTTTTATTCACAGTACGCACACTTAGCACAAGGACTTGAGTTTATTCTTTATATAACCACTGGCAATACTATGCCCAGATTTGAAGTCCACTTAGTAATTATATTTAGCTTTATAATTCTTCCAGAGCTGATCTACGGTCTTGCCCAGAAGCTCAACAAAGTATTGATCACTGTAACCATTTCTCATCTTCTTGTTAAGTTGTGCTACAAACCCAGTTTTGAGACTGTTGCAGTAATCCAAGAAGAATGCAGTCACGTCGTAACCTTGATCCCACCTGTCTCCTTGCCCGGGTTTCACCCAATGACTTGGTGCATAGCAAGCCTTGAGCCTTACATAATCAGCTATACCTGTTGCAGTTGTAAAATTTATCATTTAGACAAGAGGGTTCAGTAGCTTAAATTTTAGATGAAATGATACAAGAATACCTTCTACGAGCCCTCCAGGAGCTTGACCATTTCCATCCCATTGCCAGATGTGAGTCATTTCATGATACAAAACTCCAGTGATCTCTTTTCTCACATCACCAGAGTAACCTTGAATGTATCTTGCACTGACGTGAATCTCGTTGTTGATGGCGTATGCAACTCCGTCCATATCATCAATGAATAAACTTACTCTCTGAACATTTTTCCGGTCAGCCGGAGAACTGAACTGTTGGAAGATTCTCCATATGAAACGCTTAGATAGGTACAGTGTTTCGGTGGTGTATTGAACTCCAATGTCACTAATGAATCGAGCACCGCCAGGAGTGTTTGCAGCAGTGTTGGTTATTGTGTAGTCCACTGCATGGATTCCTTGGATAGCTGCTAGAATTGCCAAGAAAGAGAGACAGTATATTCTTGAATTAGCCATGGTTTTATGCATGCTGTTAGAAACACTGCTATTTATACTTTGGATATATAGATGAAGAAGAGTTGGTCGAATAATTTTCATAAATAAGTGGGAATCAAATTGAAGTTTAAAAATATGATGAATTGATTCTGGCAGTGGCGCACTGCTGGCAGCCGCCAATGGATATTGTAGCCCTTTTTGACAAAGTCACCCATTTACTTAGCGCACTGCGCTTCTTTACAATGAACACAATATTTTAATTACAATTAAATTAATTAATCTTTGTTCATTGTAAGGGGTTATATCCTTAACTTTTTGACCGTTGAATTCTTGTGTTTAACATTTTATTAATTAGTAAGTCAGGTACTTGATAATCATTTATATCAAAATATTTTGCCCCTATTTGGTACACA